ATCTGTCGTTTTGGGCTCCCTGCAAAGATTATCATTAATAATGGGACTCAATTCACTAGAAGCGTCTTCGCATCATTCTACAAGGATCGTCACATTCAACTGGTGCACATTATTGTGGTGCATCCCAAAAAAATGGACAAACAGAGTTGACAAATTGTACGGTGCTCAAAGGATTGAAAACATGACTTGAAAAGGCTGGGAAGCAGTGGGTGGAAGATCTACACAATGTTCTCTGGGCCTATCACACTACCACATGAAATCCAACTGGGGAAACTCCATATAACTTATGTTTCGGCATCGAGGTTATCATCCCCGTTGATATCAGAGTTCCAAACCCACGTGTTAAGATTTTTGACTCAAATAACAATGAAGAAAGGCTCTGACAACAATTTGATTTTCTCTTAGAAGTAAGCGATGTGGCCCACCTTAAAACTGCTTCCTGCCGCCAAAGAATTGCTTGCCACTTCAACCGAAAAGTCAAACCTCGACCTATCTCCATTGTTGACCTGGTCCTGCATAGTATCGAAGCCGCTATTCATGGTCCCCAACTCAGTAAATTATCCCCTCTTTGGGAAGGCCCATATACCGTGGCTGTCATGATCATGCCTAAAATATTCAAGCTCAAAGATTCAGATAGGAAAATCCTGCCCCGGACTTGGAATGCTTAGAATCTTCACAAATACTTTCAGTAACACTCCAGTCATATAATCTATGTATGTTAGAGTTATCTTGCATACAATATCAATGTAACTCAGACTTATATATCTTTAGAAAGTGTAACGGCTCATTCATGAGTCACTTAATGCTCTCAACTAGAGAATTGCACAACTCTGCTGCATCTTAGTCAGAGCATGATTGATCCTAGGGGATTTGATCTAACCTCTTCTATATGGGTTAACATCGCCGAGTTTTACTCCGATAAACAACCTTGGACAGGTTAATAGTCCTTGGTGGGCTACACCTAATCCCTTCACACAGATTCATAAGCGAGCAATGCTCCAGCCAATAACCTCGAATGGGTTAATAATTCCTCGGTGGACTTCCGTTAGCTCCTCCATATAGGTAGCATCATAGAGTAATACTCTAATACATAACCTCAACCAAGTAAAAAATAAATGGCAATTTATCCCCACGGTAACCTTCTTACATACTAGGACTTCTAAATGATATTGGATATCCACTGCGACAAAAAAAAATCAAGATTATAACAAAGAAGATACTCAGAGGGACAGAAAGCTAACACAATCAAATGATTAAACAAGATGATCAACATGCATCACTCATACAACATCATAACAACATTTGTGAAGTTCGAACAACATGACAAAAGCAAACACAGTAAAAACATAAGAAAAAGAGCAAAGCACTAATCGACGTCAACATTCTCCTCTACCCCCTTTTCGTCATAAAAGTGCACCTTCTTCAATTCACTTTCAATATCTTCACCATCGGAATCAGAGGAAGGATCTTCTGAAGCTTTGCTAGGAGTGAGCCCCTCTACGATAATCCCAGTTTGATGTTGTGTCGATCAACTCCCCTTCATAAAAACCCAGATGAATCCTTCTTCGGTGAACCACTTTTGATGTTATTTTACCTCAACATCAAGTACACGATCACGAGCTTCTTGGACATGGTCTTGAATGATGTTGTGTTGATTGACTAACCTCTGCAACATCAACATCCTTCGTAGACTTCAAAAGTTGGATCTTTTCTTCTTGAACTGCCACCGTCGACTCAAGGGCTTTGACGTGTCTATTAATTTCACTAAGTTTGGCTTGTGCTTCCACCAACCCCTCTCGAGTTCTCTCCAAATCTTGAAGCTACAACGAGAGGGAAGTTGTCTTTGTTGATAGTTTTGTTCTGCACTCTATTAGGTGTGATTCCAGAGTTGTGACTCTTTCAATCCAGATTCATATCGACGCTTGTACTCAGCTTAGAAATATTTGATCTTAATAAATTCTAATTTATCAGAGCAAGTCTAAGCCCCTTCTGGCTTTTCACCATGTTATTCATCTAAAAAGCAGAGAGAAAAGAAATTTAGTTCAGAAAGATGAAATAATTACACAGTAGCAGAAAATAATAGAATCTTACAAAACCCTCGGCTTCAAGGAGCCCAATACATTCATGAGACAGGACATTCTCAGGAATATGAATAATCGGAGGACTTGGCAGGGGCTCCTGTGATACTTTGACCTACTTTTGTTTTTTCTGAGACAATACTTCACAATCACTGTTCGTTGGGAGTCACTTTAAGGAAACTACGGGGACTGGCTCGGAATGTCCCATCTTAGATTTGTTTAATACTACAGTCATGGACCATTTATGATGAAAAGAAAGCTTGACCTTGAACAATGATTCTTCACTCACAAATGCATAAATATATTGTGTTTCAAACAACATTTTCTTAAAGTCTCGAAATCCCCGCATTTGCAATATTTCATCCTTAGTAGTCTGAAGAGAGACAGGTAACTGTTGGAACCTTCCTCGCCTCTCGCAGAGCCCCGAATCGTTTTGTGCGAAAAAAAATCTTACGGATCATTGTCTTATCAGTTTTTTAGGAGAAAATCTAATATATTATGCTTAATCATCACACGATCAAGCATATCAGTTAAAAACTCACAAAATTGTCGGTGTTAACGTCAACTCGCAACTGAGCAACACAATAATGACTGTCACCACCCGACAAGACAACTGAGTAACACAAACCCCGAACGCCTTCATAATTTTAATAAACTCATGTGCTGACGGAAATCATACGCCACCTCTCAAGGCTGCCTCATGAATGGTGACATACCCAAAAGGAGGAAAATATGCTCGATCAATTAAAGTCGATAATTTCACCATCATATCATTCGGGAAGTAATAATTCTTTCGAAAAAAGATCAAGTAACTCTCCATCAAAATTGCTGTCGCATCCTTCGGCTTCTGACTTTTCCTCAAGTTCTCAGCAGAACAAGGTTCTCCAGTTGTCATCATTTCTACAATGTTTCATTGCAATGTTTCACTGCAACACTTCGTTGTAACGCTTCGCCGCATTGCGGCTTCGTCACACCACTTCGTCGCACTGCTTCACCGCGACGCTTCGCTGCACAGCTTCATTGTGTCGCTTCGCCGCACTGCTTCACCACAATGCTTCATTGCAACTCTGCGCCGCAACTCTTCGTAGCAACTCTTCACAGCTACGTAGGACGATTTTTTTCTTTTGGGAAATCATGTAACACCTAAGGGCTTCACCTCTACCTTCCTTCAAGGCCCTATTTATAGGCTCAAAAAGGGAATCAAACATTAAATACTCGTTATTATATAAATTTAAAAATAAGTGCAAATATTTTCATATCCTCTTATTATTTTTTTCTTAAAAAGGGGGTCAAATTCGGAACCCTAATCTCTTCAATTTTTTGGTTGGTTCGAATTCTCATTTCTAGCCCATCCTTTGAACTTCCCGCCATTCAGGCTCAGGCCCGCCACTCCCAAGTTATATATATATACTTATATATAAATACTCTGGATATTGATATTTCTGACAAATAAAAATGGTCTCGCCCGAAAATAAGGGGTAACTGATACACCATCAACAAATTTTTATCATTTGATACGAATCTCGAGGCATGACACAAATCTTGAGATAATATTTTGAGCAAGAAACATTCAAATCTTGATAAAAAGTCATCCAAAACTCTGATTTCAGCAAACTTATAATCAAATTGACCGGCTCGATGAGACAGACCTAATGATATAAAAACTAGTCTAATCCGAGTTCTCAATCCAAGTCAAATCAAGCCTATATCAATTTATTGAACCACACTTAAAAGATTTTCGGACACATTTAGAAGGTCAAACGGTTGTCGAATATGACAAGTTTATACTCGAATCGAGTGCCTCGACAAGACGAATCCAAGAGCTTAAGATCACTTAATTTTGACGTCATTAAGGTACTAAAATGTCCATTAAACGTCGTATGATCGAGGGAAACTCTCTGAACCGTCCGATCAAAATGACTCATATTTTTGCATTACTTACACTAAGAAAACTATAAAATAGACCTTCACCTTTCACATGAGAGGGAGCTTAAGCCTAGAGAGAGAGAACCCGAGACCTTGAGGAGAAGCTGCAGTTCAACATCACCACCGACTGTCGTCGACTACCGCCGATCTTTGTCGACCACCGCTGATCGTCATCGATCACTGCCAACCTACATCATCACCACCGACCGTCGACCCTCGCCGACCTCCTTCAACCACAGTCCACCATCGTCAATCACCACCAACCAGTCGTCGTTAGTCGACACTATAATCTGAAAAAATATAGTTATCATTTACTGTCTGTGGGACAAGAGATTTCTGTAATCATCAATCAATAGTATATTTTCGCAACTGAGCCAGACCTTCTGTTTTTTTTCTTTACGGATTTTCCACATAAAAATCTCTGGTGTCACTACTATATTTTTGTCTTTTCTCCATGTGTATGTTGAATTCTCGTATAAAGCTAAAATAGTAATTCGTTACTCCACCGTCACGAATTTTCTAACACGCAACAATATTGCCTTTAATAAGCACTAAGAATGCAAAATAACAAATAAAAACTCCACTTATAACCAGAACTAATTATTGGCAGCTTCGCAAGGAGATGACATGCAGGACCTGTCTCATGAAAAGTAAGCCATTGATCGAGCTAAACAGCCTCGCAATATGAAAAACCTGAGTGAAAGGTGATAATTTATAGTTAGCTTTAGCTCACTAAAAACATTCTTAAAAAGTAAAATTACCCGATTAACATTCTCAATAAGCAGCCTTTTCACCCCCACTCGGTCGCTTTGTGAACGGTGAAAAAGCCCATTTTTCTGGATTAAAAATCCTGATAATAAAACCCTAAGTTTAAACGAATCCTTTTCCCCATCATTGCCACTTTCCCAATTGCTTTTCCTGTCCCTATCTTCTGAGACTCGGTTTGTGAGAATATCTTCTAAATCTTCTCCCCATCCCACCATTAGAGAAGGAACGATGCGTTTCCTCATTGCCACTGCTCTCCTCCTCCTTCTACCCGCCGAATCAGCCCCGGAGAAGCACACTTCCTACCTCAGCAGCGCCCCTTCAATTGTCCCTTCTTTCCCTCTCGCCGGCGGCAACCGCCACCCCCCCCCCCGCCGCGAGGCCGGCGAAAAGCTCGACCGCAGCCGCTGCTGCCCTGTTCTCGCTGCCTGGCTCTTTGCTGCCCACGCCCGCTCTGCCCTCCGTTACCATCCCTCCGCATCGCCTGCTCCGGTTGGAGAAGATCCTTCACCAATGATGCCGGAGATTGACTCGAAGCGCTGCGCCGATGCGCTCCAAACCGCGCTCGCTGCTCGCAACATCAGTCTTCCCCGCCCCAACGCCACCTGCGACACGGTCCGTTGCTTCTGCGGCATCCATCTTCATCAAATCAGTTCATTGTCTTGCTCAACTGATTTTAACCTCTCGGTTTCCAGCAAGAGCGGAGGTGGCATTAGACCCACTGGCGACGTCCACGAGCTGGAGCGCGACTGTCGCAATGCCTCCTATACCGGCTGCAATCGCTGCCTCAATTCCCTCGAAAAGGTTTGCGTGCTGTAAACGAAGCATATTCTATTGTTTATTTCGACATTAATGGCAAGTCTTAACGGATTTGTAAGACGTGAAGAGCAATAAATTCTTTGCTCGTTCGTTTTTTATAAATATATATATTTTTGTTTTGGATGATAGTTAAAAGGCGGCGAAGGTGGCGGCGGTGGGGAGAGGGTGGCGAGGATGATGGACCGGGATTGCCGGCTAATGGGTCTAACTTGGCTGTTGGGGAGGAATAAAACGGCCTATATTCCGACGGTGTCGGCCGTACTAAGGGCGATTCTCTACAGCGTTCGCCCACCGACGCCCCCGTACGGATGCAGTCAGGATGAAGAGAACATGCCGCTCGCCGTCGACTCCGTTCAGGTCCAGCGCGCGGCGGCCGGCGTTTATTCTTCTGTTTCCCGTTATGCTCCCGTTTTTCTACTTTATTTTCTGCTGGCTGTCATTGCTGCTGTTCAGGTTGCAGACTAAGTGATGGTGTCTATATTAGTCATTTTGGTTTGCAGATGACTGCAGCATATGGTTGATGTTCTTGCAGCAGTTTTCGGCTTTTTGCCTTTTGAATTAAGAAAACGACGAGGGATAGCCAACTAGCGATATGTATGGGGCTACTGTTTAAATTTTATATATCAATATATATATGGAGATTTCATGTTAAGGGTGCTATAATGACCCAAATCATTGGTCCAATGTGCACGTTGGAAGGATCAGATAGTTTGGATGCATTGAAAGTGCTTGAGTTATAATTTAGATATCGGGTTTAAAAGTTGTATAATTAAAGGGAAATGAAAGTGGTAGACTTTAATGATTTAAAGTAAGTTTAAATATGAAAGCTTAAAAAGGTGATTCTGATTTTGCTTTTTCATGTCGTGAGATATATATTAAAAAAAAGATGCTTAGATAGAACATTAGTTAAGTATGTCCACCTAAAAACATTAATGATGATTTGATTATGTTAATGATCAGTTTATTATGTAGCCAATTTTTAGTTAAAATTATTTGTTCGACACTTTGATATGATTTAATTTAATTTAATTTAATAGAATGGAGTGAAAATGTTTGGATTTATTATTCAATTAATCAAAATTTAAAGAGAAGTTAAACATTTTGCTAGTGGTGAAGTAGGAGAATTGGGGAAAATGTGGTAGAAAACCCACCGGAATCAACTAAATCTCAACTTGATTTACTGGGCCCCGCTTGGGACAGCTTAAATGTGCGGCGGCGTTTTCAGCCCCGTTTGGGACAGCTTAAATGTGCGGCGGCGTTTTCAGCCCCGTTTGGGACAGCTTAAATGTGCGGCGGCGTTTTTGAAAACCATTGGATTAAAATAACAGCTTGATTTACTGTATTATTTATTACCTAAATTGCAATGATAAACCTTCCTAAATTATAAAATGTTTGAAGATTGATCAATTTTTAATTTTATGAAATAATTTAAATGATTTAAGCTATTATTTATTCAAATTCTCTTTAGATATATATAGATGTATGTATGTATGTATGTATGTACGTATATTTATATGTATGTATGTATGTATGTATGTATGTATGTATGTATGTATGTATGTTTGTATGTATATGTATATATATGTATATATATGTATATATATTGTATGTATGTATGTATGTATGTATGTATGTATGTATGTATGTATGTATGTATGTATGTATGTATGTATGTATGTATGTATGTATGTATGTATGTAGCTATACATACATACATACATACGTACATACATATCTATGTATATACATACATATGTACATACGTATATGTACATATACATACATAGATATATAGGTATATCTTTATGTACATACATAAATACATACGTATATATCTATATACATACATGCATATATATATATATATATCTATTTAGATATATAAATATATATATATATATTAATGGTACAGTGAAAACCCTATAAAGCGAAATATTTAAGTGGGTCTTAATTACTCTATTGGATAGTGTCTTAAGGTTTTTTATCGACATATTAACTGCTTCGATAGAGAAGATTCTAATTTAAACAACGATTTCTATTGTCTATAGAAAGATTTATCGTCAAATGCAAAATATTATACATACATACGTACATACATACAATATTGGTACAGTGCAAACCCTATAAAGCAGAATATTTAAGTGGGGCTTAATTACCCTATTGGATAGTGTATTAAAGTTATTTATCAACATATTAATTGCTTTGATAGGGAATATTCTAGTTTGAATAACGATTTCTATTGTTTATACAATGATTTATCGTCAAATGCTAAATATTAGTAAACTTTACGTTAATTTTACCTTATTTATTTGATTATTTACATTTCCCCAAAATAATTCATCAATTACATTATTGTTTTATAATATATATATATATATATAATCCTAAGTTGTCATTTGTGAATACGCCTCGAGGGTTTGAGGATCGAGTGAAGGAGAAAGAGAATATAGAGGTATATTTTGTACAAACACAGAAATGAGGGAATGGTTATGGAAACTGCTATTAATACAATAGATAGTCTCATTAATCGAATGGATTTTATACCAAATTCGTATTATAATTTGAATTTTAGCATGGCATTAATTAGTCGGTCGACTTGCTTGAATTCTGCCAGTTGAAGCGATCGGCTGAGTGAAAACCGAACGATGGATTGGTCGGCCAAGGTGCCTAGTCGAATGTAGATTTCGTCTGTCACGGTAAAGGAGGGTCGATTGATCAGTTATGATCAAGAATTCTTGTCTGTGTCCCGATCAGCCTAGACTGTCGGTGTGACATGCCACTTAAACCTCTCGACACAATGTGTCAGTTGATTCCTGACTGTGTAATGGTGTATGGTAGGAGCTATTGGTTGTCTGGTCATCATCTGGACCATTCGAATGCTTTGAGTTTTGTGCTGACAGTTATGGTGTATACATATTTGTTCCTCGAATTTTTCTACTCTTTGGAAGCAACAACTACGATAAAGACAAAAAAATTATTATTATGCAATGATACTAAAATAAAAAAAGTCATTAATCAACTTCTATCAGATTTTGTGCACAGTGTGCTCTAAAAATAGAGTCATAGGCTTATCATTGCATTTGTTGTCGTAATTTTTCTCTAATCAGCCAGTTTGAATCATGGCCGACAATTTGAGGAAACTCTATGTAATTTCAGAAAATGGGCTATGGGCCTTCGGCCCCTGCAAAGAGAATCAAGGTCAGAAAGGAAATGAGGTTGAGGATCAAACCCGTGCTGCTGTTCTAGTCGGCTCATCAGAGGACCCTAAAGGGAAAGTTCCTTGTTAAGAGGCTACACTTCTAGATTCGGACGTGGGTGTGAGCTTCGAGTGACAGCAAGCCCTGCTTAAGGAAGGCATCGTCGGGGGTGCAGAAGGTCGAGAGGGAACAAAGATTGGTATCCCCTCTTAGTCGATGCTGCCAAAAGGTGAAGTCTCCTCGTAGCAGAGGGAAGGGTGGAAGATGCCTGGAGACCATTTCTTTGGATCGATTTATGAATACGTAAAAAAAAAATCTTTACTTTTCGTTTTTTTGCCTGGTCGCCGTCAATTTTTAACGGTTCCTTGACATTTTTCATATGCAAATACATTAACCGAGTCAGAGGGTCACCAGGACGGCAGTCGCCGTCTATTTTTAACGGTTCCTTGACATTTTTCATATGCAGATACATTAACCGAGTCAGAGGGTCACCAGGACGGCATACAGTCGAAAGACGTTGCAGAGTTTGTTGTTGTTGTAGCCAGTCTGCGGACAGAGCTTATGGGAGCCCTATCAGTAGCCATTCCGTGAGGATACCAACCGTCAGCTCTCTCACCCTTCATTGATGTTGCCAGGGGTTAAAAAAGCAATGATTGCCTCCCCTTGAAGTCGTAGGACAATAAAAAATAGGGGTCAGGCCCTCAGTAATGAGGGTTGATTCATCGAAAGGATAGAATGGAGGCCTACTATTCGGTTACCTGTAGGTGGTCTCAATCCCTTTGGTGTTCTTAGGCACAACTATGTTGGCCCTGCAGTTGGAGGTCGATGCTTTACAAGATGGTCTAGTCAAGGCGTTGCAAAAGCTGGGATCGCTTTTGGAGTCGACCAATTGATCCCAACTTTTATGACAGTACTACGAAGTATGTGGTTATATTCTCAATTTTCCTCATTTATATTTATTCCTTTACAATGACGTCAAAAACTTAACTCTGAAACAAATAAGAGTGTAAATAATATATTTAAATATTAGGATACTACGTAAGTATATGTATCGTTATCAAGTAATATAGGACTTTTTAATTAAGCCCCGAATATCAAACCCACAGGGAGAATTACAAATTTTTAAGTAAGAAGAAATTAGATAACAAATTCTACTTTGTAAAATATTATTACTAAAAGTATAGATGTTATAATAGGAATGAAAGTTTGATTTTTTTCTGGTAATTTTTTATAATTGAAAATAAAGTAAACAACTTACTAAATTTAGCTAGATTTTTTGTAAGATGAAAGAAATATAAATAAAATATATTTTTCCTTATCATAAATCAGTAACAAGTATAGAAATTTTGTTAAAATTTTGTTGTTGAAGTATTTTAATTTGTGTTGTGCCAAATAGAAGCAAATTATTATTTACCCTTACTAGAGATGCTATAAAGAACATTGACTAATTTATAGTTTCGAAGTATTTTATTTTGTGTTGTGCCAAATAGAAGCAATATTATTCTTTACCCTTACTAGAGATGCTATAAAAAACATTGACTAATTTATAGTTTGAATAGTCTTAAAGATGGGCTAGGTAGGGAAGATACTAGCTCTCACTCTAGAGTTCTCTCTTCTCCCTTCACCTGGGGCCTAACACCTCGTATCAAAACCTAAAATAATAAACTGAATTGTGGGCTTTGGCCTGTCACTCTAAAGTCCTCCAACTCTACACCCTTCAGTTATTTCATTATTTATTTGCACTCAATCATATGAACTACATTCTCATTCATACAATCTCATGTGATTCTTTTCAATTGTTGACTGAGACAATACCAGCTAATACCATCTCGAATCTTACATGTTTTCACAAAAAATATTAACATCTTAATTAGCCAAATCAAGAAGTAAATGAAGTATAAGGATTAAAATCATCACAACTTATTCCAATAATATTAACATCTTAATTAGTCAAATCAAGAAGTAAATGAAGTATAAGGATTAAAATCATCACAACTTATTCCAGCATTAACGACCAATACTTCACACAACTTTCATTCAACACAATCACTTATCATTTTAATAAAAAAAAGATAAAGAAAACTACTCAAAATTCATGGAGAAAACAAAACCACACTTAAGTTTAAAAGTAGAAATCACGTAAACATAAAAGAAGTTTAAATTAAAATCAAATGTAGTAACAAAGACAAAAATTTATCTCAAATTCCTCTCTATCAAACTATTGAAGTTCCTTTGAATCTCTTCTCTTCCTTTTTCTTACAATACTCTCTAAAAACTTATCTCAAATTCCTCTCTACCAAACTATTGAAGTTCCTTTGAATCTCTTCTCTTCCTTTTTCTTACAATACTCTCTAATAACACACTACAACTCCTCCCTTTCTTCTCTCTAAAAGTATTATAA